GAAAGAGAGAGGGAAAGAAAGAAAGAAATAAGTTCATGTGCAGTTCTCCACTTTAAAGAAATAATTCACCTAAGATCACCCACCCATTTACGTATGTGTTGCAGATAACAACATGGGATTAGTAGCCGATATGGTATGAGGGCCGACAATTCTCTCCCCTGATGTCTTCGGGCTCGAAGAAGCTTGCGTATTCTAGATCTAAGCGGAGATGTTAGGCCTTAATGCGGTCGGATCCGAAGTCCGTACGGCGCCTTAGCGTATGCAGGTATCCCAGGGGAAGGGGAGCGGTGAAGGGGAGCGGCCATGGAAGGATTGGTTAAAATCTTTAGCTTATTTTAACTCTCTTTATTCCCTTGTCGTTTGCATTGTACCTAAAAAATTGTTGTCAAGTATCCTTTTGGTCGGCATTGGTTTTTCCCTCTTTGTCATCGTCACTTATCTTTCACGGAACTAGTGCTATCGCGCACTTCACCCCTCCCTTCACTGATGCTCTGAAAGTAAAGGGTATTTAAACTTAGAGCTAGTTGAAAAAGCCAATGTGTGCAACTGATGATATTTAAGGTCACGTTGAAAGCGCCGCATTTACTAGTAGCCATTAGAAAATCTTTGTGATTCGTACATGACAGACTTCAGGCTGGAACTAAGAAGGGTCGTCGCCGGGCCCGTTTTTTACTCCATGATCACTTCATACAACTTTCAATCTTTAACAACACATACCTCTCGGTACATATGTCGATTCTTAGACAGTGATCATGAATAGTCTGCTTTTTGGAAGGAAAATGGCGGGATTATATATTAACAGTTAGCATAATTGTTGAATGAAATTTTATCTTGGGATAACGTGGGTGTTTGCATGATTATCTTTGATCGTTTGGATGAGAATGGGTTAATAAAGRCTGATTATTCAATTCAAAAGCTATCCTTTTAGCACTCGAGTTAATCTCCCGTTTCGTGATGTATCGAAGATTATCTGTCGCATCTTTTTTTCCAGTCTATCCTTCTTTATCCTTATCGATGCTTGTGTATCTGAATTGAACATGACGTCATTKATCGCCCACGCGTGGTAACATGGATGGAACTTGGATCGGGGGAGTGAGTATGGAGATCATGCTCAATAGAGTCCTTGCATTGATTTCTTAGAGGAATTGTTCTGGGGGACAAAATTATAGGCCGTCTTTTTTTATGCAATAAACATCCATTGTTTTGTCTCCGGCAACATTTCCTCTCGAAACTCAGTGAAAGAGGTCTATAGTATAGCTAAAGCTTTCGAGTTGTGACGTTTTTCCGGATCCAGTAGCTCACAAAAACCGCTAAAATAAAGCAAATTTGTTCTCAATGATTTATTCTTCCCCTTAAATTGGTGGACAATAAATCCTGTGACGAAGAAAAAGTAAAAACAAAAACAAAAACAAAACAACATCTTTATAGATTTTTTCGCTTTGGACCCAGAAGTCTTTTTTCCTCACGATTACCGTCATCATCTATCATCGTCGTCATCATCCGTACTYATACTAATCAATATGTTTATCGTTTATCATGATCGAAGTCATAATGTTTTAAATAATCATTATAAGTTTATAAGTGTTCGTCGTCATCATAATCAATATCATCAATATTTTTGGTCATCTTCGGTATGATCTTCTATCTACCTTGCTCATCATCACCTCTGAACATCTTATCATTATTATGATCAAAATACAGATCTGGTCCGGTTGTACGAAGGGTGGATAAATTTATTGGATAACAGCATCGATTTATCCATCGGATAGTGTTACTTCACCCTTCGTACAACCTGCCCCTGGGTAGTTAATTTCTCCCCTCCCACCCCTCCCTAACTGTTACTCAGATTGAGTGGATCGAATCCCATGGAGACAGACGTCAAGCGGTCTGTAAGTAAAGATAAAATAAACAATGGCGGGAGGAACATGGCAGTTAATTCTCCTAAAATACTTAACGATATTTCACATTTAGAACCCCGCTCGAAGGCTAACTACCCATGGAGAACATCTTCAAGATATTGGCCTTAAATCAGAGGGTTGAATATCTCCACTTAAAGAAAAAAGAAGGCGATATTTAGCATATAATTATGGGAGTAGCGGTGAGTAGTCGACCGAAGAGTTTAGACAACACCAAGTTGAAAGTCGGCAAGAAACCTTCGAAAAAAGGTACTAAATAACTCGCATGTCTTCTTTGATATTACAGCTAGTGGGTATTTATTAGTTTGTATTAATATCTAGTTGTTAATGATTTGTTTTTATGTGTTTTTGTGTGTTTTTATGGAATGTTTTGGCGCGTGTGATTTGGTTGGATTGTTGTTAACGAGGACGATTAGGGATTAAAATTGCTGTTTTTTCTTTTCTTTTCTTTAACATTTTAAAGTATGTTTTGTTGTAGATCCTGTGAATATCCAAGTGCTTTCTACAGCGTTTATTCCCTCAGACATAACTGTATTTTCTGGACAGGTAGGATAATAAATTTAAAATATTTTCATGTGAGAAAAACTGTCATGACTAATAACTAATAACTTAATTTCTAAACTTAATTTTGAGAAAAACATTTTATAAAAATAGTAGTAATTAAAAAAAACAATTCTACAAAAACGATCATGTCGTAAATTTTCCATCCAGTGCAATTATTTTAGGCTTTGCTGGAAGGATGTAGGGTTTTCATTAAAAGATAATTTAGGAAATGAAAAACTGGACTCAACGTATTTATTTATAGCTGTGAAATTTGAGTTCGAAAACAGAAAATCGGAAAATCTTCATCGATTCTATATTTGATGGTAAAACTCGATGAATATTTAGAATTGAAATGCTTTTAAATAGATACTGGAGGTAAAACCTTCTTCAAGAAGCTTATAAGCTTATAAGCTTYGYATATYATAAATGTAGTAAGATATAAAACGTTGAAAATTGGGACCGAATGAACGAAATTGTATTTATAAATTACAAATGTTTAATAATAATTGATGCTGAAAATATCTCATTTTTGATATAAATAAAAATTCACAAGGCTCAGCATTTCAGTAAAAAAATAAATAATAATCAAACAAAATTTTTTTAAAGATATATGATTTTTTTTTCTTTAAAAAATATTGGCAAGAAATATTTTTATAAATTTATTGACTGAACAATTGAAGTGCGCTACTTGGATGAAGTTCAATTTGGCCGAAACTTCACGATTATGATTATGATTTACGTCTTATGCTGCTATGCTCACCTACAGGTGAATATAGCGCTCTCACGCCTGCTGGTTTGTCGACTTGTACCACTTGCAGAGATAAAATAAAAATTTAAAAAACAAAACAAACTAATCATCATTTGCTTCATTGGAATCTTTTCCTCTCCCCTTGAAGACTCGCATCTTGGTAAATATTTCCTGATATTCACTTCGTCTTTGACGTATAATTTTTTATAATTTTTTATGGTCAAGATTCTCAATTTTTTTGGATTTCAGCTCCCACTCTTAAAGTAAACTAAATCAAAAAGTTTATTGAAGAGTGGCTGGCACAGAATTGCTGTCTGGTCTTTGAAATCTTTGAACCATCTTCATCCAAAAAGCACTTATTATTACTCATTAAGATATTACTCATTACGTGAATTTTATGAAATGCTTTGGAGCATTTTTATAAATGTGTCAATAGCATGTGTTATTTTCACGCCATTAATCAACAATATGAAGAATGAAAAGCAACAGCTAAGTAGTTGTAGTAATTAATTGCTGCTTAATGTTCAGTGAATAACATCCTCAGACTATTTAACAATTATCACAGAATTGAAGACAAAGTGATTATTGGTGGAATATTTATTGAGCCGCTAGTCTTCAAGCGGCAAGGTAAATATTTATAATAATCACTGAGTCTGAGGGAATATATAGAGGATGAGAGCTAGAGATATAAAAGATATACAGTATATGGAGATGGATGGAACGAAGGAATGAACAAACAAAGGAGCAAACAAATGAAGGAAGCAAGGAAGTATGAATGAATGAATGAATGAATAAATAGCTTATATGAATAGATGAATGATTGAATGAATGAACGAATTGACAAATGGCTGGATGGATTAACGATGGATGAATAGGAAGGAAAGAGAAAGATAAACAAATGTATGGTCAAACCTGCTTTATTAGCACCCTACACCTCACAATAGCAGTTATTATGGATGCATGCAAATGAGATGCAAATGAGACAACAAGCATTGTATCGGCACGATAGCCTCACTTGTATCATTCTTAATACAAAAGAATTTCTCATTGCAGGCTCAATTACTATAACAACAGCTATTGTTTATTTGAACAACATATGCTCAAGAGTAAAAACTTAATGTGTGATAGATATTTTTTAGCCTCTGCCAATGGTTTAACATTATTTTAGTAATACATACACTGTAATCAAAACATTTTAAAGTGTTTTTTTTATTCACAAGAAGTGTTACCCTACACAAATTGGTTTCCGAAGCCTGGAAATAAAAGAATCATTTTTCACTTTCAGTCTTATTTTGAATTATTTTTTTTCAGGTTATCCAGTGGAAKTGGACCAGTTCTGAGAATTCAGAACTGCATCACAACATAAGACAGGTAATGTGCTGGAGGAAGCAGTGTTTCCCCCAATTCTTTCTTCACCTGTGTCTGTACGTGTACAGGTGTGTTTATAAATATAGACCTCTTTACCTTGGGTGTACTGTTTTCTCATTTTAGACCATGTGTCATGTAATTTCTTCAAAATAAGATTCTTTGTTTTACCTCATTCATGTGTATTTTAATACAATTAAAATTGTCATGTACAACCATCAAACAAAGAAACAACACTCTAGTTAATAACACATGGTCTGAAATGGGAAAATATGACACTCAAGTTAAATAGGTTTGTTATTTCCTGGAGTGTGGAATTGGCATCTGGCTCAACAACCTATCCAGAATGCATTTAACATTATAAGTATAACTATTGTGCTATGAGTTGTGCAGTTTTGCAACCATTCATCATTCAAGCCACTACACTCAGTTCAATAACCATCATTAAGATTATAAATTTGTGAAAAATACATCCATTCCTATTAATTTTCTTGTAGATTAATTTCTATCCTGAATTTTCATCACAAAATATCATTAATTTTATCCATATGTGTCTAGGTAACTTTTAGTGAGTCAGGTCAACCCGTCCCTGTCCCCCATGGGCTGTGCAGTGGCCAGTTATGTCCTGCTGGTAACTTTGAAGTTGAGATTGTAGCCCCTGGAGTTTACTACTTTATAAGGTTTGTTCATTATCTAAAAAAGATCATTTACCACTCCTGGGTGGACAGCTTTTAAAATACCTAACAGGTTTTGCAACCCAATAAATAAGGCAGCCGATAAAAAAGAGCCTGTAGCTTTCTGACTACAATTATTGATAAAACTAAGATATGAGATATCAGGCTTTTTTGTTCCTTAGAATTACAATAATTAGAAATAAAATGGAAGGAACAGAATTGAATGAAATATTTTATATCAGAATAGCAGTAATAAATTATGTGTTCGGTGTGTGTGATGAAATAGAGAGAAGACATAGGTTCAATTCCCGCCAAAGGCATTTGATATTTTTCTCTTATTCTCTCTATTTCATTACACACACCGAATGCATAATTTATTACTACTACACTATGTCTATTCTTTGAGTACATATTTACGGTGTTCAACTTACCTATAGATTAAAAATATCACTCTGGGATCCTCACGAGTACCCTACATTTCATATTCCGGTTGCGTTACCAGCGTGGTTGGTCCTTGTGGTGTAGTGGTTAGCACATCGGACTGGAATACCGAAGACGTGGTTTGGATTCCTGCCAAGGGCATATTGATATTTTTCTCTTATTCTCTTTATATCAGAATAAAATGTTTCTTAAATGCTAGTTAATAATCATAATTTTCTTGTTTCCATACACTTAGTGAAGGACATTCTAGTCTGAGAACCACAACTATCAAAGTCCTAGCAGCTCCACAAGAGACTATCAAAGTAAGCACCAAATACATGTAGGTCAGGCAAAGATATTATAAACATTTCTTGTTGTTGGAACTTGGAAATGTTGTTGATTTTGAAAGATGCTATTTAACTACTGTCAAACCTCTCTGGGTTTTTTGGTTTTCCTTCCTCCACAAAACCTAACAAGCTAAATTATGATTTGATCTGTTAGTAATCTTTGCCCTGACTTAGATCAGCCCAGAGATTGTTTAATCAGAGGTATATCCCTAAAATAAAAAAGGGTTATTTGTTTGTTATTAATAAAAGAACTTCAAGACAACTAGAGATATGAAAAAAAGCATCGAGAAGAGACCAAAATTACTTTATTTATTGAAGAATCCTTAACACATACATGTACTAAATAATGTGTTTTTCAGGTAACAGACCAGAGGTTTGAACCTAATTTTGTTGAGATCAATGAAGGAGAATCAATAACATGGAAGTGGGAATCTGGAAAGGGAACTTTGAAGAAAATAGAGTAAGTTATCAGGGTTGTAACCATACCTAATTGTTTACCCAGGCAAACGAGCAGCAAGGGCAGGAGGAAGGAGAGGGTTCAGTGGCATGCGACCTCGGATAATATTAAAATTAAGGCCCTCGGAAATGCTATTTTCATAATTTTGAGGGATATTTATGATATTTTACTGAGGCAACACTGTCTTTATTTTTTAATTATTCTATTTGTTTAAAGCTGTGCCCAAAGAGAGGTGTATACATTAGGACACTTGGTTTTAAATAAGAATGATTAACCCAAAACTTGCTTGCCTCAAAGTGGCTATGGTCCTGGTTATACTTGACAGATTGGATCTCTAATTTGGGTCTGGGAATCACTGAGTTTTTAATGGTGTCTTCTTAATTTTTAGGTACTGTTCAAAACATGGTGGAGTTGCATTTTCGAATTTGAAGTAAGTATTTGACAGTACAGTCATGTCCTATTGTCAATCTTACATTGCTTCTCATCGTATAACACAAGTGAAATTGTACCATTTGCCATAKCCACAAAAAAGGGTTTTGTTGGGTGTCAATCAAAGTGTTGAATCCAAGACATTTTTGGAAAATAAAATGTTTTCAAATGCACCTGCCTATGGAATGCCATGAACCTGAAGGCCAAAATAGACTACTGACTTGTAGAAAATGCCTTGATTGATGTCCCAAAAATCCACTTTTGTTAGAGCTGTGAAACACTGTAAAGATTGTTATGTTAATTGAGCTTAATTTTGTTAAGGTTTGTATTCTGTCAATCAAAACTTTTCATTCTGTCAATCAAAAATGGATGGAAGCAAAGGCAGCCACACACAAAAAGCACTGCATGCGAAATTGTCTTTGTTAACTGTGTTAATTTTAAAATTTTAGGTGAGTGTATAATATACATTTTATGTGACATTGTAATTCTTTTTTGTTTGTTTGTAGTATTACCTGTAATACTGACCAGGGAAATGTCTACACATATACAGAAAGCTTTGAGTAAGTTGCAGTCAAAGTACTGTAATACTAATGGTATTACATTGATGTCCAATGCCTTAACTGAAGCACTTGATTTGATAAACAGTGATCCTACAGACTGTGCTGGCATTGGTTAGAATTGATGTCATCAACTCTATGTCATAATAATGGTACCATGTGCCATGCAGTCATAGGATACCCCTGCCTTTGATATTAACGCATATCTTATATCCTACTACTGCGACTRGTTAAATGATGACATCAACTCTATGTCATAACAATGGTACCATGTGCCATGCAGTCATAGGATACCCCTGCCTTTGATATTAACGCATATCTTATATCCTACTACTGCGACTGGTTAAATGATGACATCAACTCTATGTCATAACAATGGTACCATGTGCCATGCAGTCATAGGATACCCCTGCCTTTGATATTAACGCATATCTTATATCCTACTACTGCGACTRGTTAAATGATGACATCAACTCTATGTCATAACAATGGTACCATGTGATATGCAGTCATACTGTAGGAAACCCCTGTCATTGATATTATGACATCTTCTAAGAGGTTGTTACAGGGCTTAATAAGGTTGATGGTAATTGACACTGAACATACGGGGTAGTTTGTACGAAAGTACTGACGACAATACAACTAGACTTAAGTCATGGATGTTTGTGTTCTTACCACATGTCTTTCTAAATGACACAGAAAACCAGGTTTATATTACTTTACTGGAGAAACTCAAGACCAGCTGYGTATCATCAAGGTTCTACAGACAGCCAGGTACATTGTGATATGATTTATTTGGATTGGATTGGGTTGGGTTGGTAAACACCCCCTTTGCAGGGGTGGATCTAGAGGAGGGGTGCAGGGGGAATAATGAGTAGAAGAAGAAAGAGAAAGAAGAATAAAGGTGAATTTTAAGTCTAAAGATGAAGCTATATTGCTTACTATCAATCACATGGCTTTTTGGAGTTGACTCGGGGGCAATTTAATTGCAACGAGCAACTGTTAAGTCAAAATAAATCTGACTATTTCTACTGCCTGACACCAGAAATCAAGATACACATACATCTTCCAAAATCCTCCAAGCTTCTGAATGTTAGTTGCCGCCCAGTCAAAATACATCTAATAATACCTTTAGCATCCGCCAACCTCTAACCGCTAGGGATCAGGCGCAAAAACACGACCGCAAACACAGAGAAACGCTCAGCGTCAATGAAATTCAATATAGCGGCTATTCTAGCAACAACTTTGTTATGTTGCCCTGCTAAATGTCGCGGAAAGTTTGACGGAAAACGCCTGACGTCGAACTGCAATTTGGTGTTGCGGTACCTAGCAATAACGTCGTGGTAAAGGTCTCTATTACTGGAAGTGACATCTATTGATAGTAAGCTATACTGACTTTCTAGCGGAGTAACAACCATCCCTTTGAAAATATCCTGGATCCACAACTGTCACACTATATATGCATGTTCCATGAATGGTTCCCATTTTTCTTTTTCTCTTAGGGAACATTCAATCAAGTTTCTTGAGCACAGAGCTGAGCCGTCTTTTATAAATGGATTTGTGGGAGACAGGATATGGGTGCAACAGGGACTGCCAAAGGTGCGTACAGACAAGTCAGTGGCCGATCCAGGGGTGGTTCTGTGGGTTCCATGGAACCCCCCTTTTTGTGAGATCTTAACAAGTCATTCATGTTCTTGTAGTGAATTCCTGGTTCCCCCACCCCTACAGTAAAATTGGGTCCCGTCAGATGAAAGTAGATCTCTTTAGTTTGAATGAAATGTCTTTGCCCTAAATCCAGATACCAAACCTCCCATATTTATTAAAAAATAATGTTTTTAGAAAAATAATGGAAGTTCGCACTTGATGGTGAAATCTGAAGATGGTGGCGTTTTGGTGAGTATATTTCTTATTTTGAAACCAAAATTTGATCAAACAAACGCAAAAAGCAAATAAATTACGTTACTGATAAAGAATAGAAAACGCGCGCGCGTGCTGTGTGCAGTCATAAAGCACGCGGGGGGTTGGGATAACACGAGAGAAGTGTTACGAGAAGCAACGGTAGCGCGCAGAGAAAATTTCACGCATAAAAATTCGCATATCGTATTGACTATGGCGAAGTTCAATTATTTCAATTCTATACCATTATACTTTTTTTAGCTTGGGCTCGATATTTTCCCATTTCAGACCACGTGTCATTCTCTAGAGTACCATTTTTTGTTTAACGGTCGTGCATGAGAAGACACACGAATATTGATACAACTTAAACAAAGAATCTTATTTTCTTCGGAATGATACKTGTCGTGAAATGGGTAAATGTTATGCCCAAGCTTAAAAGGTTTATTAGATCAGAGAAAGTTATAAACAACAACGCTTGGTAATATCGCTGAAACCTCGAGCCCCATGCTGTTAAATTCCAATTCCTAACAAACAGTGCTGCTAGAGCGCATTAGGCGACCAATATAGACGGCCAAATCCATGGACCATTTCCACCATTTAGGAGAATAGACGGCATTATGCCGGTTTCATTATCAATTCTCAACGTATTTTTTTAATACTAGGTTTCATCAAGACCCCGCGGGAAAACCAAGCCAGATAGGTACTATTATTAGCATCGTTTAAAAAAGCGCGGCATGTTTGATGTCTGTTGGTTTTGCGCTTCAAAGGTGAACTCATTGAATGCCACTTAGATGATGTCTGTTGGTATAGACTAATAGTCCTGTCGTATGATAACCTCTGCGT